CAGTGACCATAATTTTGAAAAACCAATTTTGCCGGTTACAGATCTTCGAAAATCGCGGAGCAGCTGTTGGCTGCTCGAATGCTCATCCACATGGACAACTTTGGGCTGGAGATTTCATGCCAAACTTACCATTGAGAAAGGACAAATGTCAACGCGTAAGTATGTGCTGAAACTATTTTTTAAGAGTAAAATGGAAGAGAAGCACCTAGGCTATGAAAGGTAAACTGTGTATCCCCGAGTTGTTTTGGTGGTCATAGTTTTTCATAGGAAAAAGTGGTTTTTTGGTGGCGACCTTTATTTAACTGTGGGGAAATTGTTCCTAACTATTTCAAAAGATATTAAACCCAATGCGTTGGAGCATGCTTTCCTGATTGTAATTGGTGTGTCCCTCACATGCTCTAGAGGTGGATATCGTATTCTTTGAGATCTGGATTGCGCAATTTGCAACTGAAATTAGCAGATTTCTTCTTGAAACAGTAGTTTCTTATGTCAGCCACTATTTGATTTTCCAGAATTACTACTCCCGACACGGAAAACCCCTACTTGTTGACTACCTACAAAAGGAAAAAGCAGGGCAGAGTGAAAGAATCGTTCTACAGAATGAGCACTGGACAGTTCTTGTACCTTTCTGGGCAGTTTGGCCCTATGAGACTATGCTTCTTCCAAATAGACATATTCAGCGCATGGATGAGTTGCAGGAGGTTGTAATTTTTGCCTGGCATTTTAGGAGTCAAGGATTTTAAGTTCAGGATGAACAAGTCTCTCTAGCTGATATTTTACGAAAAATTATTATCAAATATGACAATATATTCAAGGTAATTTTATAGAATTCCAAAGTGAAAAAGAGTCTCTTTAGTATCCAAAATCGCAATTTAGTGTCCTTTCCCATTCAGTATGGGATGGTTAGGAGCTCCTACAGGTCCCGCCTTGAGGCAGGACAATAAGCATTGGTGCTTACACGCATCTTTTCATCCACCGCTACTTAGATCAGGTATTCTACTTTTTGTATATTGAAAAGGTGCTATTTCACTAATATCTTAGCTACCGTGCCCAAATACATGGCAGGATATGAGGTATTTTCTGAGCCACAAAGAGATATCACGCCTGAAGCGGTAGGTTTGGCTGTGTAAAGTATGCAGCCTTAATTTCATTTTAACTTGGTATTTGATTGTATATCAAGCAAGTCGTTTCAGGCTGCAGCTACCATCAAAGAGCAATCCGAGATCCATTATACTGCAAGTAACCCTGGGAGTTTAACGCAAGCAACTAAATGAAAATTCCTATTGCACAGGGCATTTAAGAGAAATTCTATAGACACAACTGTTAATAAACATTGTTTACATGGACAAGGTTGTAAATACAAAGATACCTCACATGCACTTGCTTTAAATCCCTTCGACATCTAAATGCTGTTTCATTTTGGAATTCTTATCACTTTGTTTGGGAAGCACAGATGGCTAGGTCTTCTAGAAGGACTACAAGTTAAAAAACCTATTCCACAGAGTTTGCTTTACCTTCAAGCGAAACAGGGAGACATAATAAACTGCACAGACGAAACTTTGCCGCTATACCTATTTATTTATTTTGATGCACAATATTGTGCGCTAAAGCGAAGCGAACTGCAGAATGAGGGTCAGGGAGTTCTCAGCAAGAGCTGGGGCACGGTTAGAGAGCAAACACTGAATGGCTAGACAAAGTTTAGTCAACTCCTAAACAACATAACAAAAACGCTGGGCAAAGGAGCGACGCGCCTACGCCTTTGAGTTACGAAAGCGGGGCATTTGAAAAGCTGTTTCTGCAGCCCAAAAAGATAGCATCATTCTGTATACTTCTGTTC